TACAAAATATTATATATTCAGTTGAAACAATTCATTCGCATAATCTCCTATACTGAGTAATAAATCAATGTTAGTGCGTTTATAAAAAATATTTTACGAAAAATAACGAATTACCACGGCAGCTACTAAAGGTTCATGAGGTTCACGAGAATGTGACTTGCTCACTGTTGGAATTAGTGCTGAGAAAAGTTTATACCGAAAGGTAATTCAGAAAAACTTTACAAATAGGAATCTCGTCACTGACTTTTTACAAAAATATAAATATCTTGCAAATCTAACGCAAGTAAAATAATGTTTTATCGGGAGTGTCGGAAAATAAACGTGGCAGCGTAGTCCAATTTCGAAAATGGATGTACTGGCGGTAGCACATACTGGCTGCATTCGGAGAGCGTGCTATTAGCGCTATTGTATCATTCTATCTTTATCGCTCATTAAATGTAAAACAAGGATAGAATAAGCAAATAGCGCTAATAGCGCGCTCCCCGAATGCAGCCACTGTGGCGGTAGTGTATGTACAGGGGCTTTCGACTTTCGACGGTCCGACGAAAAAGGCGGGGGTCGAGGGGCGAGCCGGGCGAGGATAGCAGCGAGGGCTGGCAGACTTCTCATTCTCACTCGCGGCGCGACCAGGCGCGACGGCCGCGGGCCGTCGTGGGATTCAAATGCGTGTCAGTAGTAATAATCGCGTGAAACATAACGCGCGTGTGGGCGTGAACGACCGATTAGGACCGCTGTCACGTATGCGGTCCCGCAAACGACGAAAGTCCGCCGCGCAGCAATATGTGAGTACTGGGAACGGAGCGTGACACGCGGCCCACGCGGCGGACATCAGCTCCGGGATCGGGGAGATGATGTCTCGTGGCTTCTAATCCGGAGGCTTCTCGAGATTATCGGGTCGTCGCTTTCTACGATCTTTCCGCCACGATCCCGGATCTCGGGGGGTCGTCCTCTTCCGAGGAAACATTCCGGGGAGAGAGACGCGTTCGCGGTCGGTGGGCGGCGGTTGTTGAATCGGAGGAGCCTCTCTCCGCTTAAAATCCGAGAACGTCGCTCTGTAGCGAGCAATGACTCACCGCACAGCGACTCGCAGGATCCCACGTGTTGATTTCGGATGCGGTTCCGAGCCTGGCAAATCGAAAAATTTAGAATACGTTTTTTTTTTTGCGTTTAACGCTTCGTCCTCCTTCACAGATGCTGCTGTGCCGATGAGAGGATATCGAGAGAAGTCAACAAATTTTGACGCGGATAATGTGATTTTATAACGATATTTTTATCTGACAAATATATTTTTGTATCATCGAGATGCACTTTTCTATACCAGATACTCAGGAATTTACGGACGGGGCTGGGAATGCATATGTTGTAAGTATTAATTTAATTATTTATTGTATATTACGTGCTTGATCGTTTATATGATGATATAACATCTTCTGAATTACAGGGATATAATATTCATATCAATGGATTATTCCATTGCACCGCGAGATACAAACAGCTGCACAATCTGCATGTACAACTGTCGAAGGATCTCGACATACCGTTACCTATATTCCCTCCGAAGAAGCTCTTTCCTTTGACCGCCGTTCAGCAGGAAGAACGCCGGCTGGCTTTGGAGAAATACATTCAATCCATCGGACAAAATGTAGCCATAAATAACTCAGAGATATTAAATGGATTTTTATTGAATGCTCAGCAAGAAACTGCGGACGGCCTGTCTGAGCACGAGACTCTAGATATGTTTCTTATGAATGGGTCCAAAATTTCGTTGAATATCTCGCCTGGAGAACATTCTGGTGAAATTTTAAAGGTACATTATATTATTTCCTGTAATTAATACGTATGAACAAATAATTTGTATGAAAAAAGGTAACTTCATGTGTTACACGTGTGTTAAAATACTTTTTCTTTTCCACAGAAAGTATACAAGCACATAAACTTAGCAGAAAAATATTTTTTCCATTTTGCGCTATTTATTGTTATACAAGATGAGCTATCCGGTAGCATTAAAAGTAAGTATAAATTCTTGCTATAAGAGCTATAGCGTTTTATTATGGTATATATTTTGTTTTCTCTTTTAATATACGTATCTTTTTATCCTAGTATTGCGGAAATTGCAAGAATTTGAATCTCCATTTATAACGCACAAATACATGAGTTCCACGGGTTCACGGATCGTTCTCAGAAAAAATTACTGGGATATGACGTACGACGTTGAGTTATTGAACGATCCTGTAACGCTCAATTTACTGTATATTCAAACGGCTGCGGAAATTCGCAGCCGTTGGATTTCGGTTACGAAGGAGGTGCACCATCAATTGGAGAACTTGGAAAAGTCTGGAAACAGAAAAGAGGTATGTTGTGACAAGCAAATAACATTTTCAAATAATTAATTTTGTCTTCGTTATTTCAGTACCTGAATATAGCTCGTTATTTGAAATACTACGGCTACATACAGTTTGCGCCGTGCTACTGCGATTATCCCGAACGTGGCTCGAGAGTGTTGCTCGCTATAGGTGGAAATGAATTGAATTTACGCGTATTATCATCGGAAGAGCACGAAGTCGTATTTAAAGTATCGCGAATGCGATGCTGGCGTATTACTACAATACAAAATGTAGGTGTTACGAATATTTTAATGGGAAAATTTATTTAGAACGTCGGTATGAATTATTAATGGATGCACATATCTAGGGAACGGATCGTCATGAAGATAATAACGAGTGCAGTCTGGAGTTATCCTTCGAATATCTAATTGCCAGGAATGAATTGCAATGGATTACGATTGCGTCCGAGCAAGCGATTTTAATGTCTGTTTGTCTGCAAGCCATGATTGACGAGTTGTTGCAGAAATGTGTAGTGGGGAGCAAAAATCAGGTTGTTATATAAACTGCTTTAGATCACTTGAATGCCTAAATCAAGTCTCTTCGTTCCTAAATATATGATATTTGCAGGCAGAACCTGGGAAGTCGTGGACGTATATCATGAGGGACGGTCAGAGTCGTATCGTTACAGGATCGCCGCTGCGTGAATGTGCCAATAATAATCATTCTAAATCGGGGCCAATTATAAAGAAACTTGCTAACAAATGGTCGGCTGTGACGTCAAAAAAATCGAATAATTCAAGAGCAACCGTCGTTAATAAGAGTCAGACAACGGATCTTGATGTCATGGAAAACAACGTGTTTTGTATGATAGGAGATGACGATTTATGAGCCAAATATAAATTTTGGAGATCGACGTATAAGCATAGTGATAAAAAAGTAACAAGGATGCCTTTCAAAACAATTTTTTTTAAAAAGAGAGAAGATATATTTTGATATATCTTACAAGTCATTGAAATTTTCAATTTTAAAATTAACGATAGGTAGCTGTCAAGACTTTGTTAAATGATGCATATTTAGTGTCTTTTGTATGTGATTAAAATGCATTTATATTTATTGATAACTTCTTATAAAACATTCTTTATACATTTTTATATACCGTCCAATTCCAATGATAACCAATCTGGTGTAGCTCGGAAATTAACTTGGACCAAAACTTTGTATAGATATACAAAAAATACTGTATGCACGAAGTACTTAATAATAGGATTAGTAGTAATGATATTAATAAAAGATCAAACTAAAGAGATCAAACGCGCATAGTTTGTATAATGTTTTTTTATTATTATTAAACAAAATGATTGTAAAGGCAGCATGTTAATATTTGCTTTTGTAATTATCTTAAACAAAACTATTAATATCTCGCTTTAATATTAAATAGCAATCGTTCTATATGTTGTTACGTTCTATTATCAGACTATAGTTTTCACTAAATCATTCACTCGGAAAACATACTTCTGCCTTCAGTCTCTATATTTCAGCCAAACACTGTAATAGATTGTACAATACGAATGTAAAATTATGTCATAAAACTGTCATGATTAGATATGAATACAAAGCCGTATCGCCAAGTGGAAAAATAAAAACGGATTATTACGTTGCCTTATGAGATATGTAAATATAAACCGTCGTATGAAAAATGATTGCTAGCTAAGGCTAAATGTTAATCGTGTAGAAAATGCATTAGTGTACTTCTTTGTGACATTTTTATATAAATTTTTGTCCGTTTTACTTTTTTTTAATCCTAGAACAGAGCGCAGAACATTAATGGAAGCGGGTATCATAAATTTAAGAAGGAAGATTTTACAGCAGCATTAACTGCAAAAATATAAAATTTGTAAAACTATAATTTTATATAAGAATGCAATTTACAAACATCCTCATGTTCTGATATAAGAATTGTAAGATGAGAGAATACAATAAAATCATCATAATTTTAACATATATAGAAATGATCGACGTTTTATTATACACGACCATTTTAATTATTTAAAAGAATCTCTAAAAAATTATTACGTACAGTTATATTGCATTTTGTACATAAAACGATATTGAAGTATATTTTGTTTGTGTAAAGTAAGCAATTAATTATTTTTCAGTTGGGGAAACCTTATTAGTATTACACTTCTGTATCAGGATTATGGATAATATATGCCTCAAATTCGGACCTTATTTCATTGAGACAATGTGCACATCCTCTATATCAAAAATATGTTGTTATTCTGTATTATTATTTTCTAAAAGAAGAAAATTGAAGATCAGTTCTGGCTATAGCGCTTTTAAGTATAGCTCTATTTCCACTACTTGCAAAATAGCCCAAACGTCAGCAAGGAATTATTATTCCACTATGATTATTTGCCATATGTATTAATGGCACGTACAAATATATTTATTTTTGTAACGATTACAAAAAAATATGCGGTCAAAAATTTTTAATGCTTTATAAAACGATTCATTGTGTAAGGCATTACCACATACGAACTTTTATATTATTCTAAAAATACCGTTATCATTAGTGGAATCTGGTAAATTTTAGTTTCAACAATTTCCATATTATGACAAAGTAAATTAGAGCATACTGGAAAATACTTTCTAATACGGCGCGCGGAAGACTCTAATACTAGTAAGTTCGTTCGTGAAATATCTCATTACAATGCGGCGTCATTTTTTATCATGGTGCTGCATACTGAAGAACACTATTCATTACTTTAGAATTGCGTGATCTTATTGGTGTTGGACATGTTTGCAACTTGAAAAGTAAATTTGATCATCATAGCGAATCGACGTAAACTAGAGTTAGTTGTTACTATATTAGTAAATGAATGAGTAGAGAGTCTATCTATGGCAGTAGAATAAAAAGTAAATTAAATCTTACAGCCTTGTTCGCTTATTTCAAACTGTCATGATTAAATAGAGCATTCACACTCGAGAACTGTTCAAATGCTTAGCCGTTTAAGTGTATTTCTCATGAATAAATGATCTTTTTATATCCTGGATAAAATGGCATTGTAAATGACTAGCGTAGCATGACGATACGAAATACCGATTTCTTTCCAAGTAAATATAAAATTTCTCGATAAAAACGATCGTAATCACGATGCATTTGTTTCTGCACTCCTATTGCATTCCTTCTTTTTAGTTTCTAACGACCCTAGAGGAGTCTCTCAGAATATTTCTATAAGAATAGGATATATTTAACAGTAAATATAGATAAACATAATACAAAAATTAAGTATAGTGATTGTTTCTTCACCTAAATCACGTAAAATAATTTACAATGATGACGTGAGGCTATTAGCTATTACTAGCTTGTAAAGGCCTTCACACACGAATTGACGTAGCGATAACGCAAGACGTACCGTAAGAATTGGCCAATTAGAATCATGTCTTCTCGAAAATAACATTACGGTTCGAAAATACTTGATGTGTGATTGGTCAATTCTTACGGTACGTCTTACGTTACTGCTAGGTCAATTTGTTTGCGGAGGCCTTAATATCCCAGGATTCATAAAGAAAAGCAACATTGTGATTTGCGAGTAAACAGGAAACATTCACAGTCGCTACACGTTTGTCCGTTTATGAGGTAAAATATTCACGGTGTGGGAGCAATGTTCTTCTCTTTAATGAAACCGGGGATGACGCGAATAAAATCTATTCATTTATACAACTGTACACCCTTTGTCTATCCGTCATCACTTATTCGCGTAAAGGAGGACTGTTAGAAGTTCTGTTGACGTTTCCGCTTGGTGTCCATGGCATCCAGAATAGGCTGTCTCTTCGTCTGATACCTTTTTCTCAGCTCGTCGATCTCCCGCTCCATTTCCGCGTCCAGACTAGCCATTCGTTGCTGCAGTTCTTCGTAGGAGAGAAACTTCAACTGCAGGATACGGCTTCTCTATATATTCAAGTTATCTTTCTTTATAATGCCTAAAGCGGCATTATTCAAAATAATTTGATGCAGGGAATGTGAAATGTATATTGTACAAAACGCAAAGTGATCAATCGTTCTCTCTGTCCTATTACGTTAATAATAAGATATATCGCTCGAATATTAATTACGTAAATTCTTAAAACAAGTGTGCTGAATAGAAATTTTACTCACAAAATCGAAATCACGTTCCGTGAAGACATTTTGAAACTTCGATATATTGTTATATGGCTGTTCTGGCACGGGATGAGAGATCTGATTCTGCAACTGTAGCTGCAGATGACTTTGAAACCTATGAGATTCGATTGGACTTTGCTGCTCCAATTTGTTCGCGTTCTCCATGTTGTGCGCTCCCAACATCTGTCCGTTACCCTATACAGTAATAATAGTCAATATTATTAATATTTTAGACATGAATCATATCTAAATAATTTTAAGTAATATAAGAAAGATTACTTTTCCGATTTCAGGCGCTTCTTTCTTGTCAAAGTGATCTAAGAATAACGGTCGATATTTCTTGCCGGATTCTACAGAACCAGTATTATGTCCTAGAGGAAATGTCAATATTAGTTACAAATCACTTTTATACTGCGATTTGAAGATTAATTAAGATCTACTAACTCTTCATGGTAGCTTCGGTATCGGTGTCACTATTAATAACCATTGTACCCAGGTCCAACATTGCCGAAACTAAAGTACCCGTGTCTGGAAGATCATGGCTCGGCACTAAAGTCCTGCTGTCCTCCGGTAATGGTTTCATAGTTCCACTACAATCGTCCTCATCCTTACGACAGAGACACAGTGTTACGTATGTACAGAGAATTACACATATATTATTCATATAATAGATTAGTTTCAAATACCTACCGAATCCTCCGCCTGGTTTTGACTTTTAATCGCCACGTTGTTTATAACATGAGCTCTATGCGCGCTCTGCTTTTCTCGTATTTCATGAGCCTCGGCGATCATTTGGCTCAAGATACTTGGCTGTTTGGCATTACCTGCAATCATACGGCACACGTTAATTAATATAACATCGCAATATAAATTTCAATCCTCTATACTCACCTATGAATTCGTGCTGCAGAAGTTCGGTTGCGGTGGCTCTCTCTTCGGGATTTTTTACAAGGCACCCACTGACAAAGTCAATAAACTCTGGACTCCATTGATCGGGTTCTCTGAAACTAGGCGGTGGTTTTGTCGGAATCATAAATATTGCTCTCATCGGGTGTATGTCGCCGTACGGCGGCTTGCCCTCGGCCATTTCTAAGGCCGTTATTCCCAAAGACCAGATATCAGCGACGCAATCGTAACCAATCTCCTGTATCACTTCTGGCGCCATCCAGAATGGTGTACCGATCACTGTATTACGTTTCGCCATGGTATCCTATTTCAGAGAATCCAGTTTAGATTTTTCCACCTCGACCCTGAAAGCATCTCTCTGTGACTCACCGTTAATTGACCCGCCACACCGAAATCAGCCAACTTCGCATGGCCTTCGTTGTTAAGAAGGATATTTCCAGCCTTAATATCTCTGTGAATTTTCCTTCTCAAGTGAAGGTATTCCAATCCTTTCAGAGTATCACTCAGGATCGTGGCGATTTCGTCTTCCTGCAGGGTTTTCTTCCTTAACCTCATGATATCACTAACAGAACCGGCTCCACAGTACTCCATCACAATCTGCAAGTTACAACGGTATCGATAAATCGTCCAGTTTGATTGGAAATGGTAAAGCACGCGCGTGTACCGACTTACCCATAAATCCGTATTCTTAAAGTAACTTCCATAATATTTAACAACATATGGAGAGTCGCATTGTTGCATAATTGATATTTCCTTAATAATCTCCTGCAGATCCGTGTCCACCGGTACTTGTTTAATAGCGAGTACCTGCCCACTCTCTTTGTGCAACGCTTTATAAACTGAGCCATAGGATCTACGCAGAAGTAAATATTCAGAAATTTAGAGTGAAAAAAGAAGTCTTTATCTCTCGCGATCGATAAATATCAGTAATATCGTAGATTTACCCTTCTCCCAGTTTGCATATGATGTCAAACACTTCCTCTGGCTGTCTCGTCAGGCTTTCTTCCGATAACTTTTTTAATTCGCTAAAAATAACGATAAAAATGGTACAATATTTCTGAAACAAATGTCACGTCCACGCTGCTAAAAGCTGTGAAGCGAAAGAATCTCCTGTACATTTTAATTCTCGACTGGAATGACTCGAAATCTTTGGCGGATTAAATTCGTCTTATCAATCGGTCGTTTTACTTCGCATCGATTTCAGAAAAATCTGCGCGATTCAACGGGGTTGTTTCATCACACGAGGTAAACGTGGTAAACAATCGTGAATGATTGCAGGTTAAAAAGACAAAGAGGTCGGGAGGGAGGCCGATCTTCCGAAGAGACGAAGATTCGCTCGCCGGAGGATACGTGCTCCGTTTCCACCGCCGCTATAAATAATTTCTCAAAGACAATTTGGCGCAGTGAGCCAGCGCGTGGCGAAACGTAAAAAAGAGAGAAAGAGAGAGATAGAGAGATAGAGAAAGAGAGAGGAGGACGAGGGAGAAAGAGAAAGAAAAAGAAAGATGTAAAGTAAAAACAATCGAATATATACCTCTTAGAAGACATCTTCGCGTCGATGTCAGACCCGGAGATCTCGGATAAGGAGCACGCGCGCGCGCGAGTATATTTATAGAAACAAGAATAACATAAATACGGACGAGGCGATTGTCATGCCGTGCGCGACGGTAACATGGTCAATTAAAAATAGAGGTGTTACATTTTTGTCAATAAATTAAGGTAACCACAACCGCGATGCTATCGGAGCCATCGACTGTCGGCCATCGTAGATGGTGCGGCTGCGGGCTGACGGAGCACGGGCCACGGAGCGACCGGAGCGTTCGCGAACTCACCGGCGACGGGTCCTTGTCCTTAGGCCCGGTTTCGCACGGAGCGATTTTGGAACTCACGTCTAGCTGCGGGACGAGGAAATTATAAGCACGGGGGACGCGGTATTCGTGGTCCATTTTATATTTTTAAATTTTATAGCGTCTCGAGTACGATTTCGAGCTGCTATATATATGATCGTTTTATTAGCTAAAGACTTGAGACAATCTTATCTTAGCACACGCATTTGCGAAAAAACCGGACGCGATATTGAGAAATTGCACGCTATTTTTAAAAAATCGTACACGATTTTGAGAAATCGCACGCAATTAAAAAAAAACGCGCGCGGTTTTAAAAACGCACGCGATTTAAAAAGACGGCATGTTTCGCAACTCGCTGCGGTTTCGAAAGAATCGAACGTGGTTTGCAAAAAACCGCATGCGGTTTGCAAAATCCTACTGCGGTTTCGAAAAGACCGGACGCAGTTTCAAAGAAACCGCAACAGGATTTTGCTAACCGTGTGAATAAAAAGTAGAAAATGGGATTGTATAAATTCCGGAAGAGATGCGATTTCGACAAACTCGCGCAGCGTCGCCGCAACAAAGGCTTTTAAAACTCGTCTTGATTCCAAAGTGGATATTATATTAATGTAATCTCTAATATTTACGTTATTTATTCGTAATAACAAAAACTGAAATTGTACAGGCTTTGCTTTAAGCGTCGCGAGAAAAAAAAATGAGGTGATGCGCGCGACTTGCATAACAAAACGCTTTATTAATCTTCAAACAAAAAGGACATCACAGTGGTATATAATCTAATTAATAACAATCTCAACAGTTTCTAATCGCGTATCTTCTTCTACTTGCGCAAGTTAATTTATGTAAATCAAGCAATCGCATCGCAATTCAAAACTCAGTCTGTTCATTACGTTCATTACAAAACACAAAAATGTCACGCGTAAATTCTCACGATTATCTGCCGATCGATCTTAACTTAATAAACGTCGATACATATTCTTACCAAAATATTTCAAATGTGGCTGAAATTGGGATCAATTTAAATAAAGTTCTAGTCGAGCCGAAGTACTAACTCCCGGACTCGTTAAACTAATCGTAGCGATGAGGACAAACGGAAAATCTCCCCCAGATTGCTCTACAATTCAGATGATACTTATTTATTCGAGAAGTATATAATACATCGATCTTATCAGCACACATGAGAAAAGAAAACATACTTTCTCGGTGAGTAATACTTGGCTTCCGTGTGTCGGGCGCGCGATGCTCTCTCCCTCTCATTTATAATCTAAACTACCCACTCGTCTATTGGAACGGACTGTGAAATTAACGCTCTTTTCGGAACGTGCTACAAGTTTGTCGCTAAATGGTTTTATCACTGCTCTTTCTGCTGCATCTACCAGGTAGATCATCCGCGAATTCGGTTGTTCCGCTGCGCGCGAAGGCGCGCTACAAGACAAACGTCGCGCCGGCGAAGAGTTTCCGGCAGTCAGATTTTTTTTCTTTCTCTCGAGAACGCAACAAACGGAAAACGCAAGAGACGACGCGCATCATCTGTAAAGTAATCGACTTACACAAGTACGAAATCGGCATGATCGCGAGGAACGAGGAATATTTTTCTTTTGTCATGCTCTTATATATATTTATATATTTTACCTCCGCAAATACTACGTGGTCTCTGTACCAAAAACGGAAAAAAAAAATAGGTGACGCTTATAAAACGTACTCACGTAATTATAAAAGTGTCCAGAGACAGTCGGATATCCGGTAAAATTCTCGGAAAGATCCGCAATAAAAGTCTGTCAGCCAGAACGACATTGAACTTCCCTTTTTCAATGTCCGTCAAAATTCAAAAAGAAAAAAAAGCCGCAAATGAAAACAAAAATGGAGAATTTTCTCGCGTGACTCTGTACGTCGTGAACTTCGTAGGCGAAAGATTGCCCGGAAGAAAGGTACGGCTGCCTTGATTACAGCAAACGAAGCAGTTTCGTTGTATGCATTATCGGAAAATCATTACGTAATGGATTTCGAAGGTCCTAATCTTAAATCCACCCTGCCTTAAATCGCAATGCAAAAATCGTGTGTGTGTGTGTATGTCGGGGAAGATGAAACGTCCTCGTAAATTGGGAAAACCACGGAAACAATCGTACTAGTCTAATTTATACAGTCGTAACATTAAAATACATCGTGGAATTCATCTCTTAAACATCTCACTAACTTACAACGTTATACTCCGGAATCGCGTGAATCGTTTGAATCGCGCGGCACGTTTGCTTAAAATGTAAACGCCACTCCTCTCTCGCTCGAAACCTCGGCCGGATGTGTATCGGTTGGAGAAGGAAAAATAAAAGAGGCGCGGTGCCGGCGTTACACAATAACGAAACGTAAAACGTATCTGCAAACGGACGAAGGGGGAATGATCAACGAAGGTCCGCAATGAATGCACGTCGAGGAACGACTCCACTGTGTAGGCAAGAGAACAGAGACAGCGGCCGTACGATAACTCGCGATTCGAAAAACAGCATTGTGTTACGCGGGCGAAGGAACGCGTAGACAGGCAGGCCGCAATGGTTCGCTCGAGTGTTACTTGATCGGTTTGCCCCAAGCAAACTGTATTCCCAGCCGCGGGATATCGCTACCGGTGGACGACTCGTCCTCGCTGCTGGAAGCCGACGTTTCCTCGGAGATCATCGCTTCCCCGCCAGCCTCTTGGGGTCTCTGACCGCCACCGACGTTACAATCATCCGCCGCCGCCACCGCCGCCGCTGCAGCGGCCGCCACCGCGGCGGCCACTGTGGAATTGACGGCTGGCGCCGTAGACGACGTGGAAGACGATGAAGAGGATGACGAGGAAGGCGACGATTGCTCTTTCCTAGGACGTCGCCGCGGGACCGGCGTCGAGCTAAACGAAGGCGACCACGCGGCCGCTTCCTCCGCCGCCGCGGTCCGCGCCGAATCGCACGTGGTGGAGATGCTCTTTGATCTCGCTCTGGTATCCATGGCAGGCCTAGCGTTCGGCGTCAACCTGAGCGATCCTTGCCTAGAGACTGTCGTCACGCCTTCAGAGGACCTGGCTACTTTCGGCAATGTGCTAAGCGAGTCGGATGTCCCCTTCGACAGATCATCGATTTCCAGCGTCCAAGAGACGGAGGCGCCCTTCTCGACCATGAATTTCATCATCGACGACGAATGAGCGCCGTTCTTGTCGAGCGAATAATTGTGTTCCATCTGTTCCGCACCCGCGGATCGAGTTAACCGTGGATTCAGCTGATTCGCAAGAACACTCACCCAATCGTTCTTATTTCGCAGCTTCCACTGTAGCTCCTCGTTCCGCTGCGACAAGCGCTTGTTGTGTTTCGATACTTGGTGAATCGATTCGTGAAGCATCTCGTTCTCGTGCGAGATCTGCCGTTCGAAGGATTCCTTCCGTTGGAGCTGAGCCTTCAGGTCCTCGCATCTGGCCTCCGCCATATCGAGCCGCATCTGCAAGGCGTCCTTCTGCTCGATGTCGCGCCTGTAACTGTCCAGCTCTGATCGAAGTGCCGCGTTCTCCTGACTCTTCAGCTCGAGCACGGATCTCAGTGACTCGATCTCCGCCATCAGTGCGGCACCCTGATCGTGAACCACGGATCTTCTCATCTCCTCTTTACGAGTCAGCTCGTTGACCTGCTCGGCGCGCAATTTCGCAATTGTCGCGCGATGCTCCCTTGTAACTTCGTCCAGTCTAACGTCGTACTTGTGCCTTTCCTCTTTCACAGTTTCGACGAGCGAGGTAACCTGTTTCGTCCTGTGAGCCTCCACTGAAAACCGGAATGTTAACTTGAATTTTTTTTCACTTTCACACAGACGGCAAATCGCTATAATAATCTTATCGTACTTCATGTGGAAAATTTAAATGCATTTATATCGTTTATGTACACATTAGCAAGTAATTTATTCTAATATAGTCAACTTTTTTCATTTTTTTGCATTTATTTAAGTGTGTACTAATGTGTAACTTCGCTTTATGTTATCTGTACATATTTTTTATTTATTTACATATTTTTACTTTTACTTTCTTATTCTTTTTTTATTTTTAATTTGAGTATTTATTTTATCTCTTTTTTTTTTTAATCTGATAATGTTTATTTAATGCAATGTGCATTAAAAGAGAATTTTCCTCTAAATAAATAAATAATAAAAAAATAATAAATAACAATTTCACCTTTCAATATGTGATTCTAATTTTATGATTTAATATAAATATATTTCATTGCAATGTATTGGTCCTGCGTTGAAAAGCAAAAGTATGTTTAGCTTTGTAGCTAAACGGACAGCACGCATTGAATCTATAATTAGTGGCTATCGAAACGTCGAACGTTACGTGAGAACTAAATTAAGAACTAAATCCTTCGGCGTAGAGTTCAAAATATCTTCTAGCAAGAAAAGAAAAGGGCGAGGGGCACATTATTAGGATTAATCGCAAAGATTCGAGTTGCGCGTAGGCACTGGCTGAATCGTTCACTTTAATTAATAATTGTTCCACTTCGTGACGCGTCGTGCAACGACATTAGGACGATTACGCTCGTTACCACGTGAACAACATGGAGAATAATATCAGTTGCATCCGACGCTTTATGTCTGCTGAACAATACGGCTCATTTATTTTGCGGAGCACATGCCGCGACGAGCTCGGAAATCTTTTTTTCATTCGCAAAGTGCGTCACCGCGAGTTTTCGACCGTGTGTATATATACAGCCCCCGAGATTCGAAGAAAATAAACAGATATATTATATAAGACTTACACTCGTCGCGAAGCTGGTCCAGAGCTTTACGGTGGTCCTCCCTCTCCACCTCGAGTCTCTCCTCCATGCTGACACATCTCGCGCGCAAAACGTCGATCTCCGAAAGCAGGGCCGATCGCTCATTCTTCATCTCCTCGCAATCGGCCTTCAGCTTCTCGAAATCCTTCTTCAGTTTGGGAGTGGCAAACGCATCGAGCTGAAAGACACGCGATACCGTTATACCGTGTTGATTCGCACAGATCTCCCTCTTTTTTTTACGTCGAGTAGTAAGGCAAACAGTGGCAGAAGATATATAAAAAAAAATACGCATACCTCGAACGCCAAGTAACGCACGCTCACCGCGAGCGCTTGTGCGGCCCGTTCCGCTTGCTCCACGCGGAACTCCACGTAGGGCACGGTAGTCTGTGCGGCCTGATCACGCGTCTCCGGCGACGTCCTCGCCGTTACCGTGTAGGTGGTGTTGTGGAGCGCCTCCTTCGACTCACGATCTGCAATCAGCGTCGTCATGGAGCGTGCATCAGTCGATACCGGTTACGCCCGAAAATCGCGACGCAAAAGCACGGGTCGGGGACTGACCCACCCGTTTCTCGCCCGTATCAATGAATCGACCCACGTGCCGCCAATCTACATAAGTATCTTGATCGCACGTAATATATACGTGGACACCGCGCGCTGTCCTTTATTATCCCTCGCACCGTTCGCAACCACTCGAATTATTGCGGGGAAGTCGACGTGGTAAAAAAAAAACGATGAAGGTAATAAATCGTTTGACACTGTCAAAAGTTCTTAAACACAGGCAACATCCAGCGTGTCAAAGAACGTTCGGCAGGAAAGTTCGACGGGAAGAACGAACTTGGAAAGTCAAGGCACTCGTTCCATCTCCGTCGAGCTCGATCGGTGTCAACTCTGCGTCGTCATCTTGACACATGACACACACGTATACACATGGGAAAGTCAGAACTCATTGAACGAACGAAACAACCGTCCAGCCATGTCTAAGCGATAGCTTTCCCGCGTTTACGTCGCATTTTGATTCACGAAACTTCGCGCGAAGCGAACTTCTTGCCCTCGTTCTTTTTCAAGAGCCGCAGCGTGCGATTATTATTGTTCAAGTTCGCCGCTCAATGAAGGTACATCGGGTTAAGGTCAACCCGTTGCGCGACGCGCAGTTCCAGTTGCGAAACTGCCAAAAGACTCGGCGGACTCTGTCGCGGCCAAGAAAATTCGCTTCCTCTCTTCTGGCACCTGCTGTCCCCACCGTGTCACACACGTCATCCGTCAGAAAAACTCAAGTATTTTGGGAACGGATCTACGTCGGGACACTTATCCGCGACGCGCGCAAGAAAGACGCGACGTAAACAGAATCGTAATACATGTCGGTTCAACGATAATCCTTAACGGTCGATTCTACGACGAACGCGCCATTCGAACGGGACGTTTCCACGTCGGCCACCTTCCGCGGCGGGAACGGTCGGTCTGCCGACCGGGCTTATCGATTCTAATCAGGATCGATCGCCATTCGTAACAATCTGCTGGCCGAGTTCGCGCTTCGACTGAATTAGCACGAGCCATGCAGCCACGGGCCACCTCGGAGAGCTATATGCCTCCCACCCCACGTCCAATTCGCCTTGCCGTTCTTCCTAAACACTCTCCTACCGCGCAAGGTGGAACCGCCAGGACGTGCCGAAGACGATGATGAACCACCTTCTCGCGGCGAGTCCTTTTCGGCGGGAGATAAGTCTTTTTCCCGAGCGATTCCTCCTCGAAGCAAAACTTGGTCGGGTCTCTTAAAGCGTATAATACTGGTCGCTCAGCAAAGGTTCTCCGTAACGATCGTGTACTTCCGGTCGTTCCCTGGATGCCAAAACAGCCGAGTGACTCGAGTTCTCCGATTTGGAATCGACCGCCCGTAGATGGAAAAGAAGCGCGCGTGTTCGCGCTTACTTACGGTCGCCGAGCATCGCGAATCGCGACGGTCGTATATAATGTCCCTTGTGTTCAGGGGACATACCGCGATAAATGTCGAAATGCGAGAGCAACGAGCGCGATCGATTATCCGCGAAACAACGCGTCTTTTCAGGCTCCTATCGCGTTCTATCGCGGGAGCTAAACGCGCGGAAAATGCTGCTTTCGCCATTCCGTTACTATTTAGGACGTACGGCCGGTTCTCGACGGCGATCTTTCTCTCTCGTCCTCTTTCTAATCCAGGTGATAGACCAGGTCAAAGTGATTCTTTTTTTTTTTTGTAGAAGATTTAGAAGAAGAAAGAAAAGCATCGAAGGCGCCGGGTAAACAGGTTGACTTAGCGCTCGGGACTATTGGGTGAAAGCCGTGACTTTCTTCGAAACGCGGAGGGACACGCGTGTACGCGCATTACAATACGCGCAGCGAGGACACCGCGACACGTTCGGACGCACCGGCGAGCGCGTGCGATGCGTTTTACTGCACCGGGCGAATTAATGCGCTTGACCGTGCGCGCGCGCGCGCGCGTGCGTGTGTGTGCGTACGCGAAACGTACGTGTGTCGCAGAATAAACGTGAGAACTTTTTTAGAAACCGGCTGCCAACTAAAGTGGCACGACAAATGGATTGGAAAGCACGAACGCGCGAACGTGAATTCTCACTTTATTTTGTCTTTTTTTTTTGTGCAAAACGACAAGTTTGACCGTCGCTCGCAGAATGACAAGGTCTTAACGGCTCGTGCGTCGTGTGTGTCACGGTGAAACTCGTCGCCGAAAGAGAGGACACGTCCGTCTCCCAGATCCGGTAGAGTCGAAACGTACCTTTTATCGACGCCACGGAGGATTTCTGTTTCACTGTGGCGTTGGCCGTTAATCTCCTTGTTATCGCTGGCTTTCGCGCCGACGGTGGGCTCTTCTCTGTAAAGAGAATGTGTTGCGTTAACGAGAGCATGTTAAACACTAAACGGCAGCGGCACTCGCGTCCGCGTACCGGCGAGCGTGCTCCGGGTACCGTACGGCGAGAACCGTTTTATCGTCCGCACGAGATTGAAGTTCAAGTATAAAGTTTATTCCATCCGAGGTCTTTTTCCCCGCGTATTATTATTGTATTTTGCCCACACGTTTAATATGTATGTACAATTTAACGCGCGAGACAAACCATCTGGTAACTGGATTGAATTGGATTGTTATTATTGTCAACATAGCGCAGGTGATAAAGTTATTAAAGGGCGGTTTTGACCAAACTATGATCAATCAACGATTAATTCAATCAGCAGAATCGTTGGTTGCGAAATTTATAACTGTATAATGATTTGTTGTCCCTAATCTAATTCTTTCACACATGTTAAAAAAAAAAAATTTAACAATTCCATCCACGTAAACAAAGGTGTAATTTAATAATTAAAAAAAGTTAATCGTGTTAATTAAATTTGGTCGAAGTCGTCCTCATTGCTAATCCTAATCCACGCGAAAGGATGGCCCTGAAACGTCGACGTGAATATTCATCGCTTGACTCTCGTCAAGCGGCAAGAGACCTTTCGGAGGATTTCTCCCGGTCTTTGCCGTGCCTTGGGGGGGAAAGTAGCAAGGTGAAAAGCCACGATTGGACTCTTGTTAAACGTAGCGGTAACGATGATTGCGGGCGCCTTCCTGTCGACCGAATAGGAGGAAAAAGGCCCTAGGAGAGAAATTTTCGAAAATATTCCAGTACGTGCTACTTATCCGCGTCGTTTCGTGATTCGCGAACCGGTAAACGTAGTCGGCCGAGTCCCGGAGAGAGACGCTCTTTCTCTTTCTCTCTCTCTATCTCTCTCCTTTCATCATCGCTCGTCACGGCAGCGGTGCCCCAGCCGGAAATACGCCACGATGCTCCCGTTCCTCGCCGCGTTCTGCCGTTCGCCGTTCTCCCCTCCGCACCTGATTATCATACCGTACCCACACACGCACGCGTACCCACACACGGCGTAGTTACCTAATAATCTCGAATGACAGGACGGAGTTGTATATTTACCGAGCTCCACCGTCGCCACGTCGATGCAGTTCTTCTTCGCGTCGAAACTATTTACGCGGACCTGACTGGCGGCGTGGCCGTTCGAGACGAATCTCCGGGGCGGGTTCGCGGACGTCGGTGATCGCTCTGAAAAACAAATAACGAGAACGTTTACGACGTGAAACATCGTGAGGCCGGAAATCCACGCCGGAATCTCAGAAAGAACAAACACATTAATAACAAATTAATAATATCCCCATCGGGAAACGGGATCGAGCGATTATAGACTGAAGACGCTTTGAGGAGAACAGCAGGCGATCGTCTATAGAGCCGATTCTATCGCGAGATGCGCACACCGGAAGGATCACCGTTACGCGATCGCCAAATCTAAGCCCCTTTCTACCCATTCTACCTCGTTTGAAGCTGCCGAGACGCATCCTCGTCGAGTCCCGGGTGAAGTCCGTCCTCCTCGGGAGGGTCCTGTCCTTCGATCCTTGCTGACCCATCTTCTCTTCAGTCACCTCCGCGTTCACCGTCTAACTCATTACAATCCGTAAAGCGGGGTCGACCGTGATCCCCGTCGACGACGGCGCGACTGGCCCCGCGCGTGCCACCTTCATCCTGCCCGCGCGTCGTGTGAGTCGTGTCTCGGCGTCTCGGAGCCGAGCGTGAGAATCACTCGATGTTACGTGCGTATATGCCGTCGCGTCGACGTCGTTCATCAGCATATACAACGGTATACAACGGGCATCTTCCGCCTTTCGGTCTGCCGCGGCCGCCGCCGCCGGTTCCGTTCTGGCGCCCGATGCCGATCGATCGCGCGACTCGCGACGCCGTTCTCCTTCGTCACGCGAGAGAGCCGCCGCCGCCGCCGATTATGTTGTGCAGAGCTGATTGTGTATCACGGTATCCCGTCTCCGGACACCCGACACCGATCGCCGGGCACCGTATCGGCGCGCGCGCGTTGTTATGTCACGTGGCGATCACGCGTCGTCCTACGCGCGCATACCGTGCTTAATACCTTCGGGCATACTATATCCCGGTGAATTCCACTGCGACTTGGACGTTCGGGTACGAAGTCGATTTTCCTTTCCGCTCGGTTGAAGGGCCGAGTTTCGCGCGCGCGATCTCAGCGTGGGCTACTCAGCGGCCGCCGATTCCGACGGCGGCGATTGCGTAAGACCGCGCGGGACGGAGAATCGAGGGACCGGTAGTCGCGCACCGACAGTCGTCGACCTTGGCAACGCACGTGGTCGTCATCGCTCGGCCGGGTACACCTGCTGCTGCTGCTGCTGCCGCTGACGAGGGTGGGGATGGAAGGGCGGGCGAAGAAGGGTGCCGGGCATCCTCGCCGAGCGACGGAGGTGCGCGACGGGGCATAGTTTTGCGAAGGTGCAAAGAAAGCACGACGACAAGGGGTCCCGCGGTGGCCGGAAATAACGCCGCGAGAATGGCGTTGACCCGTGCAGCTGTCGACCGGTCGACGCGGTTGCCGTTAAGGCGGATATCGCCGGACCCGGGTGCGGGTTACCTTTCGCACAGGCACCTCTCGCGCGCGTTACCGCTCGCGGAATCGACGCGACATGATGATCGGCTCCGGTCCCGTGTAACGGGGACGTCGAATCCCGGTGCGACAGGTGGGGGATGAGTTCGATCGTCCGCCGCAGGATGGTAGATCAGATTTTACATTTACATCGAATTAGATTTTTTTGCATAAACACCTGCCCATCAGGTTTTCACACACGCACAATTCGCACGCGCGCGAGCGAGCGAGCGGAGAGAAGGGCGAGAAGAACGCAGCGGGGAAATAGGTCAGGGCAGAGGCGAGGCTTCGAAAACGTTCCTGTTCTCGCGCACAACCGCCGTCGTCGTCGAGGTGAACGATATAGCGACCGGGGCGAAATCCGTAGTCACCGGTCGAAGGTGTCACCACGGATTCGAAAGGAGAGAACGAGAGTCAAGTCGATTTCCCGGGCCACCGCCTGGATGTACCGAGCGCACTTCGGTAACTCGTTCGCTAACGAGACACATCGGCTGTCAGCGGCTGTCCCTTCTCACTCACTCGCTCTCTTTTTTCTCTTTCTCGCCCGCGTATGGGTTTCTCACGCACCGCCACGCACTATCCGGTGACCCGATTTTGCGTGCGCGAGAGCGAGGAACGATAGGTGCGCTTCTCGCGAGAGAAGGACGACGATAGACGGCTAATGCATCGGAGACACACATGCGCGTACACATATCACGTGTGTACGTGCACTGTCTATATATGTACACACGTGCACACAACACCGTACGACCTAGCACGAGACCCGCCGAGGACTGCCGACCGGATGGTGGATGGTGGATGTTGGATGCGACGAAGCTGCGCGATGCGCGCCGGCTCGACGCAGCTTCCTTCTTGCTCTATACAATGGAAGCAAAACGACGCCTCGTGCTCTCCCCATTGGCGCCGGCAAAAGGGGCAATAAAGTTCCTCGACATCCTCGACGGCCCGAGCTTTTACTCTCGGGTCGATAAGGAGACCTCGCCTTTCTCTCCGGTAGGTAAGCGGAACGTGAAGGATCCAGAGATCCTCTCCTCTCTCACGCGTATCCTTCTCGCCGAGATAAAATATTGATCCTTACACTTCGAGGCAACTCCGCTTTCCGAATTAGTTCAAATATCCCGCGAGATCACGTTGCTTAATTCGTTGTTTGCGATAAGTCCAACGCGAGACTAAGTCGGGGCCTGGTCAATTTCGCATTTTTTATTTGTTTCGTCCGGTCTGGCTTTAATTGCGAAGAGATTAATGTTAAGATTATCCAATAGCCGCCATAAAATATTCCTAAAGTTTATACAACATAGCGTTGTGCCTATTTTCCCGAGTAAACAAATAGAGTATGTACATACTAACAATACGATAAGTCATATGCGAGAAAATCTCACGTATCTTGCGTAATTAATTTATGTTTAACAAGTTATTCAGTAAATATAATTTTAATCAAGTCTTCACCTATGTGACCTAGCATATTCTTTCAAATTCTTCAAATATGTGGACAAGGATGCTACTTACTTGACAGGTCTTTACTTGGACCACTACTGAGGTCGCTCATGGAACTGCGAACAGAACTTCTAGCCGTTTCCTGTATTGGTGATTTCATTTCTTGCCAGCCACGCGTCCTCCTAAAATTTAATAGTATTTCCAACATAATTAATGATGCAAAAAAATGCAAATCTGGATTGATGAGAATCGTCAGTTATTTTTATATATAAAAATATTTCATTGATAAAAATAATATCTATTTATTTATTATATTGCTTTATTTAGGCTTACCGTTTATCCTTATTGTTGTTGTTATTCGCATCGCCGGCTTTCTTCGACGTTGGCCTCGCGGAAGGTGACAAAGTGAGATTCTGCAAAACTCTCGATTTCACTTCTTTCCTAACTGATCTCGTTCTCTGCTCATTTTTGCCAGCCTCTATCTTGTTCATCACAGCGTCCCAGCGCCCGCCTTTTCTAGTTGATCTCTGAGAGCGTCTCGCCTCTTTTTCCGCATCATCTTTCGGAGATGACTCGATCATCGCCTTGATCTTCGAGACGACGTTTCTCTTCGGCATTTTATATTTTTTCAAAGGCATCGTATCGGCCTTGCTTTGTGATTTGGGCCTGATGTTGTCATTTTTCTCAATTTTTTCGATCACTGTGACTTCGACAGAGGTCGTGGTGTCGTTCACGTTGCTCGTTTCATCCGATGCCTTTGCGGAACTCTACGGAAACAAATATTTTACGTACAATCGGTGAAATTCTAAATAAACCAAAGAGTAGTTTAATCCGCCAATGATTATAAACAAAAGTACGTCATTTGATTCGGCAAACGCAAATTTTTAATATTCTTTCAAGCCTAGCTTTCACGTTAATGTACCTGTAAGTAATCCATGATAACGTTCGCCGCGATAGGTGAAGGTTGACTCCTCTGAGAGAGCTCGGTATCTCCGGTATCGGGGGTATGGTCGTCGTTCTCTTCCGGCGCCTGTTCACCAGGTGCTTGTAGCTTGTCCAAGTCTGAATAAATCCCGCTCGAGTCCATCTCTTCTCCGGTGAAGCTGGGGCATACGCGTTCACCCGGTGCGCAGAACAGCGTGCCGTCGATCACCTGCGCTTTCCTGTCGCCCCGCACGATCTCCTCGTGCGCGTCCGCGTCGCTCTCGGTGAAGAAGTCCGAGTCGGTCATCGGATTTTGACGACAGGGCGCAGGAAGATTGACCGGCGCCACTGCCATGGATGGTGGATCCGCGCCGCGGCTGGCCGGTCTCGAGTTCTCGCCGTCTCCCTGGTAGCCCGCCTCGAGACTAGTGATACTCGTGACCGACGTGACGAAGCTCACCGGCACGGCGTTACCTCTGATTGGCTCCACGGGTTTAGGATCGAGCGGTAATTCTTCCGGCGATGGGGTTCTCTCGGTACAGCCCTCCTCCGCGGGTTCCACGTCCACCAGCGGCCTCGTCGACGCAGACGCTCGGGTCAATGCCAATTTCGAGCCGGCCGATCCGGTGAGATTCTCGCAGGATGGTGTCCTGGAGCATTCCAACGCCACCGTGAAGTCGGTCATCTGGTCCGGTGTCAATATACCAAGACTTTCGTCGTGTTCGAAGGAATTCTGTTTGTTCAGCATCAAATAATGCGGCGCTGCGCTCGCATCGTTGTAATTGCCCAGGCCCGATTCTACGAGACACGTGTCACCGACATCCTCGATCATGCTCAACTGAGAATCTTCAAGTAGCCTATTATAACGAAAGAATATACAACATGAAACACCGATGAGTCCCGCAATAGAATCACACGTTAAGCTTGAAACGCGTGTACGACTCGTACCTGAATAGACTGCTTTTCTCCTCGCTGAGATGTACCAGTTGTTGCACATCATTCTTGTCGATGTCCCACACAGGTGATATCGTGAATGTCCGATCTGCCGCCGAATCGGCTGAAACACGGGATTGCGTTTCGCACACGTTAGCGCCACGCATTAACATACTTCCATACGCGGCATTAATTAATTATAAATGCGGAATTATACTTTTGTTGGGCGAAGACGTCGAGAATCCCGAGAACTCCCGCGGAGTGGGGGACTCGTCCTCGCTGTTAAACTGAAAGCATCCCGAGAAGATCGTTGATCGGCGACTTCCCGTCAGGAGCCTCGACGCCTCAAGTACTCTCGATTTCGGGAAGAACGACGGTCGTGCTGCCCGTGGAACAGGTATCCGACTCTCCCCTACGTTCTGCGAACAAAAAAGAACGCGATTGAGATATGAGCGCGCGATTTCTCGAGTCACGCAAACATTATTCTGGTAGAATGATAAAAAAAAAGTTTCTCCCTAGTTACAATCAATTACCGCTTAATTACCCGAGTTGTAGTTTTGTATATATAACATATGTATTTATATATTTTTTTTATTCCTCAAAGTCAAGTCCGATTTGACGAGAGCGCAAGGTGGAGTCCGTTGCCCTTGGCCTACCTCCAAATAATAGCTCCACCCCTCGAGAGATGAATCAGAAATACCTCTGTCAGTTGGTTAATTTAATTTTAGTTCGTGGCGTCTCTCTCTCTCTCTCTCTCTCTTTCTCTCTTTCTTTCGTGCCTCTTAAACGCGAGCAACCGCGCGATTTCGTACGGTTCCAATTCTTTTCGCCACGTAACAGACATACGTAACGCCGAGTCGACGACAAGCCCGACGAGACAATTACGCCTAATTACCGAGCTCGTTTTCCTTTCCACGCGAGAGGCGCGTGGTGTATTAATGTCGCCGCCATAAATGCTCAATAACTCAGCGCGACGGAGTTGTTTTTCTTTCTCCTCCGGTGATGCGAAGTGTATACCGTCGGAACGAGGCAGAACTGTGCTAGCGTGTCTACGAATAATAGCAGATATATCGCCGATAGCTCTCCCCCGATTCGAGAAACGGGACAGCACGTAAAACCGACGAGTGCGTGGCGCGTTCGTGAGTTCACCGACGATAGAACACGATTGAACGCCCGCGAGCGTGTTATGTGTGCGGGGGCTGAGAACTAGGTTACTGCGAACCGCTACACACACGGGTCGCGCCTCCCGACCGTAAACCTATTGCCGAACCGCCCGAAGATAACGCAACGTCCAAAATCGGGACGTAAGACGTAAGACTTAAAATACGTCATTAAAACGTCATAAGACGTCTCGGAAACATCTTACGAGTCGTCTTACGTCCCGATTTTGGACATTGCGTTATCTGGGCGAGACGTATTAAAATTTTCCGAACCGATTGTCTCTTCGCGCCGCGACTGATCCTCATTACTCGCAGAGACAACGCGCGGATAAATGACAGCGGTAACAGCTCCGCTCGTCGCGGCGGCGCGACGGCGTCGGGTAATCTGTCCAATTTATCTAAGGTAATCAGGCCAATTTATCTAGAGGCGCGCGCAAAAGTGTAAACAACGAGCGCGCGGCAGCGCGGAAATAATATATTTTTTCGAAAGATATACCAGCGCACGGGGTACCCGACGCGAAGGATACGCGCGAGCGTGACATTTTCTCCGCGTCCGTCGCGTCTACGGCGCAATCCGCACGCGAAGCGGTAATGTAATGGGTCAGCAATCATCACGGCCACACGCCGGTTTTCCCGCCTCATGCCGCCTTTCACATCCTTAGATTTTACTCCGTCGTTGTCGAAATCCATCTTCCCGCGCGGGCACGCGTCTATAGGTATGCGGACGCCGGGTGACGACGTGTCGTCGCGGCCGGCGCGGCGGTCATAAAATGCCAAGGCGAGGAGAAAAAAAGCGGCGAGTCAGCGACGTAGTAAGACGCTCGCGCGGTCACCGCGAGGAAAGGGAGAGCGGGCGAGTCCGCGAATTAACGCCACGCGGACACCGTGTTTTTGGTTGGTTAGCGCTCACCCGGACAATCTGGAACCCCTGGGACTTTTCGAGTCCAAAGGGTTTCTGAAAGCGTTTCTGTGTTACAAAAAATCTATAAAAAAATTCACGTATTATCTTTAAGGTTTCGAAAAGTGATTTCTACACTTACATAAGCCCGGAACCCGGAACTGAGTTTTTTTTTAGGAAGGGGAGCCGACGCAAGCATCCCGGGGGAACCATAAATGAAAAATCGACCGTGTCCGCGCGGCGTTGAGAAATCGCGAATGAAATTTGCATGCCGCGAGCAAAGAGGCCGCGCGGCCGGCCAATATATAGTGGCAATGCAAAGCGAGTAGCAGGAGGTCGTATCGCGCGCGGATCTATCTCCGGAGCGTAATTCGCGCCAATTTGTGTCGACGCGTGTTGAGCAGTCATGGTTTGTTACTTTTCGAGAGAGAGGAGACGAGAGAGGAAACCCGCGCCCACCTTTAATGCCGCAACGTGCGGGCGCGCAACCCAGTGCGTCCGCGCCTCTCGGGATGAATTACAAGGCAAAGCCCAATTTTTACGGCGGTCATCACACACACACAAGCTCGGGGTCTCCTTTATAAAATATAATTCCTCTCTCCTTTCGCGCCCAGAGGCAGGAAATCGCGGATAGAAAATACACGACCGCGCGCGCTACCTGGATATCTCTTATTCAGGTAGAAAAACCCCGAGACTGTATATTTTATCACAGAAATTCCCGTGCCGCAATTATCGACTTGTATGTCGCGCAATTAAGATAATGCGCGCGCGGCAGCGTGACTTGTAACGCACACTGCCATGGCGCTAGATCGGCGGCGTAGTTGCCGGCGTGCCGCGGCCGCGCGGTCAATTGATTATAATTCCAATGGTATACATTCCCGTTCGTCCGTGGTACGCGCTCGCGATCGTATCGCCCAGCCCGAGCGTTTTGCTACGATCCGACGCTGCCGCGACTCGAGGACGGACTGGAGAAGCGTTCCCTTTGTCTTTTTTTCTTTCCTTTCACAAATTCATACTTTGCTGCACAGGCTGCACAGGTGATAAGCTCGGAGCTATGTAACGTACGTTTCCAGGATTGGCCGGGAATCGCCGATCGCGTCTTCACACATTAGTCTTCGCTTATCGAACGTTACGTAAGCGGCGGAGTGTTCACCCGTTATCGGTGTCAGTGTCAACAATGAGTACTTATAGTTTCATCATTGTCCGATCGACGGAGGGGAGAAATTTGCATTTCGCACTTCGAACCGCACGAACGATAATCGGATTCGGCTAAAACTCAAATAAAAAAACACTGAAATGTATAATCTTTCGATTGTGCACATTCTTTAGATAAGCTATCGCAGACGTTTTATTTTAACGTGCCGTGATTGTCCTCGCGATTGTCCGCGAGCTTAAAACCGACGGCCGACGGTTTCGAGACTGGCGACTTGCCCGGACTCTCTCGTACACAGTGACACGCATTTATAAGCTTGAGATCGTAATTAATTTCAATGGAACCCATTGACACGCAGTCTTCCCCGAGACGAGACCGCTAATACGCCCAGCGTCACCGTCTTCCATTGACGAAACTCGCAACAAGTTTACACCACGCGACGTTACGTCTCGAAGACGACGACGAAGAAGAAGAAGAGGAAGAAAACATACCCCGTGTCGTTGGCATCTCCCGCGCGGCACTGACCGGGTCGCGGATCTTCCCACAGTTCTCAACGGGCACGCGGCGCCGCGCCGTGCCGAGTTTTTCCCCGCGGCGCGGGCGGTGGGAGGGGAGGAAAAACGAGGAAGAGACGCGAGAGGCGAGAGCAAAACAATCTCTCGCGCGCGCGGCGCGTGAAGCGTCTCGTGCTACGTTGTTACGCGAGGCGTCGCGTCGCGTCGGAGGATCGATAGCGACTAAACGACAGGCCGCGGCCGCGGATCGCGCGTCGCGGTCGACGCGGCGTGCACGACAATAAAACGTTCCGGATTCGCTTCGCGATCCCCGGCTACACCTGCCGCGTGCCACCACCGCCGCCGCCGCCAGTCCGCCAGGCCGCCAGGCTCGTAGCGAGCGAGCGATGACGGCGACGACGCGTACTCTATCCTGCCGGAACACGGGCCGACATTCGCATTCACCAAGCCGTGAATCCGCGCGTCGCTCGTCCCCCGGCCGAATGTGCACAATGTAATACATATGTATGTGTGTGCACGAGCTACGCGACGTCGAATTATTATCATTATGCGAAGCGGGCCGGCTCGATCGGCTCGATACCGTCGCGTCGCGACTACGCGGCCGTAACTCGCTTTCAGGGATAGGTTCTCTCTCTGTCTCTGTCTCTCTGGGAATTCTGAGATTGCCCGATTGTTTTTTTACCCCCCCGGTGCCCTTTCGCTCGAAGGAGAAGATTGGAATTGGACGTCTCGCGAGATGCGTGCCTGTAGTATCGCGCGATATTGTGCTATAATGTAGGCGGTACTACAGCTCAGTTTAGAGAAAGTCTCGGGAATCTTCTTTATGACCTTCCCACGCGCTAGCTGTGAAATTGACATAAACCGTGAGACCTATAGTCGTCGAAGCGAGATCTTCTTGAAATTGACCCTTGGCTTAATTCAATAAAAATACAGTTTCGTCGATCATATATCCCTGAGGGCTCCGGCTAGCTCGTTGCTCCGGCAACGTCCGTCACGTTGGACCCCGTCGGAGGATTGTTAGCGCGCGTATTCTCGCGCGTGGTAAATGGAGCACTGGGAAATTCGCCAATGTCCGGATCATCTATCCGCGTCTGCGCCGTGGAACGTGCTCTAAATTATGTAAAAGTAGCATCGTACCCACGGCTAACGGCTATAACGGCTCGTGCATGCGACCCCAGCTGTGAATATTATTTCGACCATGTTATCCGTCATTTTACCTTCTTTTCCTCCCGAGCACGGAGACCTCGAATCACGCGGATGCGAAAACGCGGAACGTCCGTCGGCGACACTTCAAGATATACGCGATTACGTGGCCCGATCGCGCTGTACATACAACTGAACGACGAACGACCACCGTCGCACCGTCTCTCGCGAACGAAATCGTGACGAAAATCGCGATTCAAAAGCCGCAAGTCACCTCGGCGCTGAAGCGAGCAGCGCGCGATTCAGCGGGAAGACGCAAATACGAGCGGAGTAAACATTGTTCTCGTGTTATTCGCCTGTCGAGGGTATTATTTGTCCTATACAGACAGACGATACCCGTCCTCTCTGCCCGGCTATACGCGTTAATTCGAGCCGCGAGCTACGCGACGTCGTCATCAGGTTTTACAACTACCTCGCTCGCGACGACGTTTTCTCTTCCCCAAGTGCGCTTCGCGCGGAGCGGGTTACCGGGAAAACCTCTCGACAAGCGACAACAACATTCCAGATTCCGTTTACGTATCGGCGGGGGGGAAAGAGAGAAGGATATTGGACGCGCGGGTCGCGATGCCCTGCACTTTTCTTCCTCCCTCGCTCTCTATCTTTCTCTCTCTCTCTCTCTCATCCCCCTGCGTTTCCCGGGGGACTTACCTTGGCCATGTCGTGGGTGGGACTAGGACGTTTCGGCACTCGGCTATCCTCCGTCGCTCCCGGACGCGCCGGATCCCTCGTCGGTCTCGTCGGCAAGTTGGGCAAGTTCCGACGGGAGTGTCCCGAATCGCATGCCCGTCGGCGCGTACCCGCGCCCGCACCGCGCGTGACGCCCGCACCGGAGGCGGATAATCGCTGCTGCGTCGCTGAACCACCGTCGGGGACGCGCGGCGTAACGGTACTCCGCGCGGATAACGCGACGCCTCGCGTCGCGCCGACGTTCCCTCGCAAGCGCGACGACGCTGACGCTCTCGACGTCGGCGTCGCCGACGACGGTGTTATTGATCGACGCCGTGCGGAGGCGTCGCTGTCCGTCGCTGTATCGCGGCGCTGGGGCCGGGGCCGGGGCCGGGGGACGTTGGCGGCGGCGGAGGCGGGGGGTGGTAGCCGTGGTAGAATCGCCATCGCCGGCGAAATATTTTCGCGGACACCCTCGCGGCAGAGGGAAAGCTGGAGCGAAATCGCGAATTAAATTGACGCGTATACTTCGTACGTCGCGACTGACGTATCAATCGTTTTGTTGCCACTGAGCCGCCCTTCGTGCGTTCCTATTCTGACGTATACCAGATATACCGAATCGCCATCAAAACACGGAGTGGCGCGCAAAAGCGTCTTATTGTCAACATATCGCCTTCTCCCCCCCTCCCACCCTTCCTCTCTCTCTTTCAATAATAGCCCGCCCGATAGCGAGAGAAGACAAACATAAACGTGTACTCGCTGCGATAAGAAACTGTCCCTGGCCTTCAAAAGTAACGTATTCGTCACTAATTGTAGAACAACTACGAAGCGCCGTCGAATATAGGGCGAAAAGTTTTAAAGCTACCCTCTTCCGCTCCGCAACCTTGGAACTGTACATACTTCCCCCTGAGTCAGGAGCCTATACGATGTACGCACGCGGAGCAAGAGGGATGATCGTGATTCATCATTATGCCCGTACTATCAGACTACGGATTGGGATTGAGATTGGATTTAAATTTGACTAATCAAAGCAAAGTTTACTAAACTTCAGATCAGTTTTCTCTATTCTGATTTATTAAATTTCAATCCAATCTCAATCCCAATCCGTAGTCTGATACGGGCTTTATTACTCTACGCCGGCCGGTAGCTTTTCTCTATTTCTGTATTTTATTTTCTGTATCGTATCCATTTATCTTTATTGCATATAGCTTAGCTTATAACGAGCGGTTGATCTTTTAATTGATAAAAAGTATGTTGAACGGAGATTAAAGTTAATCTAAGTTGGTAGAGATGGACGTAACTCGGCAGAATCAGCGAAGAATTGCTTGCAGCACGTACGCGTAATCGTCGCGAGTTTAACTCCGATTACGGTTACTCCGATGAAGGACGCGTTAATCGATATCGACGTATGTACACATGTTTCGTATTGTCCGCTCGATTTGACCACCGCGACGCCATCGCGCGGTGGAGCGCGAAAGTGAAACATGTGTTTCGTTTGAATCGCGCACTCGTCGGTAATGCCAATCCCCGTTTCATCTCTGGACGGAAGTTGATTGTTATCAGGGAAAAGTTATGCGGGAAACACAGACTTTTGCATAACGCATAATACGTAAGCATAAGAAAACTGCGTGGTCTATTTCCTTATGCACATGTGTAATGGACCAATCAATTTTCTTATGCTTACGCATTATGCGTTGTGCAGAAGTGTATGCTCCCCGTTTTATGAATCCAAACAGGGCGATAATCGCTCGCCCTGGAGCTCTTCTAGGAGCTCCTCTTCGGAGTTTCCCCGATGATTTTCACGATACTCGATATATCCGCGGACAATAATTTTTCTTGTCCCGAGAGGTGACAACTTTAACTACATCCCGGCTAACTTATAATCGATGATTAATGTTGCCCACTTCTAGCAATGCGGATTAACTTTAATCTCGGTTTAACTTACTTTCTTTTTCTAGTTGTAAGAAAAGGAGATAAAAGTATAGTGTTATTCATCTTGACGTCTTGTTAAAATCTTAGCCGAGATATTCTAATCCTCTTTACTACAAATTTTTTAATCTTGACTTTATTAACCCTTTGACATTTAATTACACCGCTGAAGAAGATTGAGTATAGTCGAAACGTTCGACGTAATTAATATAATGTTGTACTATATGTGTGTGTGGTAATAATAAATTAGACTTTTAAAATCAACATGACCCTATTTTGACCATTTATATCTTATTATAGCTTTATAACGAGAGAAAAAGGGCGAGGCGTCTCGAATGCTCACAGGGAATTATCTCGCTCAAACGGACGATTCGAGAGCACATCGATTATATTGTCATCGAATTGCAATCTTGCTGCTCGATGAATCTGTGCGGCAATTGATGTCGAATGTTCCAACGATCGCTCAATTTGCCAAGCGTCGCTCTGAGCAAGCGGAAAGAGTTTATTTGCCGATATTATATGTTTGCATTAGCATTTTTCGAGGATTTCGTAATCGTCCGTCGCTTCTTCCTCGCCGCGAGTAACGTTGACGTATTTATAAATTCACGGAAGTCGGCGGGTCGGCGTATATTTGACTTCTGACACGAGCTTACTTTGTACGTAAGATCGCGCGATCGATAATTGCGTAATTGGTCATTTTACCGGTAACGGTATTTCTTGCGATAGCTTTTTTTTTATTAATATTCCAACGTAATTGTTCAACGATACGCTCTGACGCACGTTAGATAACGATGAAGCTCCGGCTTGCGCTTCGCGCATCCCAGATATCAAACCTACTATCGCGACAATTAAGCGTTTGATAACGCAATCAATGGCGTTCGTTATTTCTCGTCCATCCGAATCCGGGAAGGGATCGCCGCCTGGAGGACATCGCCGATTCACGGAGGCGAGTCCGCGCTCGCAAGAAGATCGATCAACTGTCGCGTCTGCATGACAATAGGGTACAAATTCCGCGCGTGGCCGACAAAAAAAAAGAGTTTACCTCGCGGACGTTGAGCAACCGGCATATATACCGTATACATATATACGTATTATACACACGTGTGTGCCGAGAAACGATCGCGCGACGTGTGGTCAAGGTAAGGATTTCATAACTCCGTCGCCGCGGCGGCGTCCGCTCGTCAAGGAACGCGCGATTCAGTGCGGCACGATCGGCATCGGGAAGACGAGCCTCTCCGGACGGGCGACCGGGGTGGAAACGCTCAGAAAGAAGCTCCCGGAACTTGCGAATCGATATCGGGAGCCCTCGCTTTTCCCGAGAGAAAGAGAGAGAGAGAGAGTGTTTCTATTTGGATTTTTATTCAAATTTATTTATTCTCATGCCGCGTGCCGTGTGGAGCGTAATACGTGGTTCACTTTTCACGATCTTCGCGCCTTCGTGCCGTGTTTAAATCCACCTTCGCGGATCCTCGCCCCCTGTAAGGGATGAGAGCCACCGGCTCGATCGGTTTCCCGAGCGGATATCGTCTTCCTGAGTAAGTAGCTGGACTGATGACGGATGAGCTCTCGAAGCCGATCGCGCGCGTCCGAAATCGTTCGAACTTGCTCGCGATTCGCTCCGACGCGCTAACGAGAAACGGTTATTAAATTGCAAATCGTCCACATCCGCCTCTGCAGGCCGCCTTATATGCGTCACTATGCAACACCACCATGGTGCATAGAAGAGTTAGCGCGGATATTTGCGAGAATGATCCTCTCTCTATATATAGAAGTAATGATATCCGTTTTTGGTTTCCCCGGCACGCTGCGATTCCCGATGCCCGTTGATAATAATAAACTACGCGGAGAACAGTAATTGATCGACGATATATTAAATGCATCTCCAGTTGTTTAGTCCTCTCGTTTCAGTTAACGTCGCGCATTCGAGTCCACATTGATCGATTTTCTTAGGATTTTCTTGAAACTGTGAATATACGTTAATTTAGGTGTGCTTTATGCGTGGTATAAACTTAAGTACCTCTTTCGGTATAAAAAATAAAGATACTGAGCCTCAGTAAAAAAAAATTTTTTAAATTTAATTTTTTTAGTTTTGACATTTTTTCCTTATAGAACTCGACGAGAGGAGCAACTTTGGTCCTCTTGGTCAACCTCGTATCTCTTACCGTTTGGCCTGGAAAATCTTTTCATTAGTAAAAGTTGAAACTTTGAGGCTCAGTATCTTGATTTTTTATACCGACAGAGGTACTGAAATTTGTACCACGCATAAAGCACACCTAAATTAACGTATATTCACAGTTTCAAGAAAATCCTAAGAAAATCTATTTTTTCTAGTATAAGGACGAGAGAACGTCCTTAAATTCAATTGTTAATTCATAATGTCGATTTGAGTCGATTTTTAATCATTCCTATAGATGATCGTCCATCTTTTATTCAATATGTCGTTAATTTAATAAATCAATGAAGTTAAAATAATACTGTTTTGCGTTAAAATAAATTTTGACGCACATACTTAAAAATAACAAAATTAACTCAAGGTTATTGATTTAAATTTCCTGCTTTAATATTTTAACAGTGCATGCATTGTCGATTCGATTCGAGAGCTCTTTGTATCTATATAACTCGCGCGAGTATTACATTCTTGCTCAGTTCTAAGAAACGTGCTATGCGCTTTCGCGGAAATTCCCTCTGGCTACAAACCGCGTATCGTGCTCCGCGAGTTTATGAAGTACAAAGTTGGCCGGAAATTCGGAGCCGATCGATAAAGATATATACACCTTCGTTCGATATACCGTTCCCAGTTTGGAACAGTGTATCAATTTGCATACATATATTTGATTATTAACGAGGTATTGTATCTAACTTCGTGGTACAACGGCATTACTAATCGACGAAACGTTCCAGCAATGATTCAAAAATAGCTTTTGTAAATAAATAAGTTACGACTGTGCGTGTGAGCAAGACGCAGATGAGTAAAACGTCATGTCTGTGAACCCTTCTCCTCCTTCTTTTTCCTAAGTTAGAATCTTTAAATTACCCTCTTTCTTTGTCTCGCTCCACCGTTTGCCGTTAAAGTTTCTTCCCAGCTCTTTTTAAATCACGTAAATATTTATGAAAATTCATCGGGCGACATTTCGAATATTTTACAGGAATATGGAATATTCGTAATACCCACATATGTGCGCAAAGTTGAAGATAGTTCGACAGAAGCTACGCGCGAAAGCGGAGTTTCAAAAACTCGTGATTCTCGTTCCAGAAATCATTTCAAAATAGATAATAAACGTTTTGCGTGTCAATATATTTATGCAACATTTTAATAAAATGGTACGCGCGCATAAATAAAATAAAATGATTGTGCATAAATTAAAAACTTTTATGAACGCTCACACACGCACGAATATTGTATTATTTATTATTATGTGCATTAAATGTGCGTTAAGCGATTATTACGCGCTGCGCGCCGCATCGTGACGTTCGCCGCCGTTTGCGCGTTGCCGCGTGAAGTGAGGCGCAGGACCGCAGGACGGTTAACGGTAAGGTGAGGTAGACGTAGACGTAGACGGTGTGCCAGTCCAATCGTCTCCGACTCCGACGTCACGGCATTGTTCGCGTTTTGCTTTTTTCGAGGCGATTGAAGATTCGATGCGCCGCGGCGTGCAAATGATCTCGCACTCGCGGGCGTTCGCCGATCGATGCCACGCGTGTCCGTACGGCACCGGGCCGAAATGCGAGTGGGCGTAAGGTCGCCGCCGGGCCCGACGGGATTCCTGTTCGCCGTAGATAACCTACAAGGATGATGGTGATGTCGCGTCGGCGGTGCGCGCGGACCGTGTCGTGAGGGAACGGCCGTATATCGCGTTAAAATAATATATCCGTTATGAGTCGCGCGTGCCGTTTGATAGCGACGTCGAATTATTGGATCGTTACGGCCGTCGATCGCGCGGGATTCGGCCCGCGCGGCTTATAGGTTATCCCAGGTCGGCTGGAGGACCGTCGCACGACTCGGTCGTCGTCGCGTTGTGCGCGCCTCCCGTAAAATCGCTCTGGGTAGAATTTAGTGTCGACGTGTTTCTGTTTACGTATCGTTCCGCCGATCCGTCATGCGGCTTGCGAAGATCGAGCAGCCTGAACCCTTTCCGTCAATAGCTACCTTCTGTCCTGGTTCGAAGGTAATAGCTCTTCTCCAAGTGTCGTTTTAAAAATGGTCATTTTCTACTTGGTCGATTCGATCGGGAGATGGTGAGAATTTTGTAATAATGGCCGTTTTCTCCAGCAGGGAACGCCGTGTTACACAAAGCTAATTTATTGGCTATATATTATCTTGGAAGATGTTTTAGATAATATGCAGCCAATAAAATGCCTTTGTTTAACACGGTGTCTCTTGCTGGAAAACAATAGTTACAATGTCGCAACTATATATGGTAACAAGCATTATGTTGTAATTGTTATAAATATAACTTCTCTTTGTTAAATTTATTATTTACATATTTATTAGTACAAATAGTTTTTCTTGCTCTTATAAAATAATATGGTCAATAATATATTTTTGCTATTTTTTGCGTGTAGAAGGTTGTTTGATTATACTTGACATATGGAATCTTCCTTTTGTTACAGCAATATAAAAGAACAGGAGTGATCGTATCCTGGAGGGACTACTGAGCCATAACGATGTGCTTGTGACTGAATATAGACCTTTTACATCGGACAAGAAATAATGCTTAGAACTATCATATATCTTTGTATAACCTGACTGTATCGACAATGCAAGCCAAGAAACGCTATCTATTATTGTTTGTAACATGCGCGTTTCTTGGTTACTGCTACTTCGGCGGATATCGTTTAAAAAGCGAAAAGTGGACAGGCAGATCTCAGTTGCCTTACGAGCGATTGCCTTCATATTTAAGTCTAAACGAAGAGTTCTATGACAAAGATTTAAAGACATCCAGCGGGGCTTTGGCTATGTCTCAGCGTACACGGCATTGCCGCATGGAGACCTGCTTCGATTTCACGAGGTGCAAGCAAGGTTTCACCGTGTACGTCTACCCAGTCGAGGATGTGATAAGTCCACTATACCAAAAAATATTAAACGTTATCACGGAGTCGAGATATTACACGTCGGACCCAGCACGGGCATGTATATTTGTCTTAGCCCTGGATACGTTAGATAGAGATCCCTTATCCACTGAATTTGTACACAATCTTCCCTCGAAACTGTTACACCTGCCATATTGGAATAACGGAAGGAATCATCTGATATTTAACTTATATTCTGGTACGTGGCCCGATTATGTGGAAGAGGCGCTGGCTTTCGACGTGGGCTACGCCATGCTCGCTAAGGCCAGCATGTCCGTCTTTAGACATAGACCGGACTTTGATGTATCGATACCTCTGTTTGGCAAGCAACATCCGGAACGTGGTGGAGAACCCGGCCAAGCATTAGAGAATAATTTTCCCAATAATAAAAAATACGTAGCGGCTTTCAAGGGGAAACGATACGTACATGGTATTGGATCCGAGACAAGAAATGCTCTCTATCATCTGCACAATGGTAAAGATTTGGTGTTTGTTACGACTTGTCGTCATGGGAAGGCCTGGAGAGAATTGCAGGATGAACACTGTCAGCAAGATAATCAGGAATATGACACGTAAGTAGGAAATATGCTGGAATCGCTTTGAATCACACATGGACCTTGTTTGAAATATAATCGCTCTTATTTTTCATTTTGCAGATACGACTACGAAATTTTATTAATGAATGCTACATTTTGCCTGGTTCCGCGAGGACGACGATTAGGTAGCTTTCGGTTTCTGGAAGCTCTGAGATCAGGATGTATTCCAGTCATTTTAAGTAACGGTTGGGCTCTTCCCTTTCACGAGCGTATCGATTGGACTCAGGCTGTAATATTTTCCGACGAGAGACTATTACTCCAAGTAAGTTGAAACATAAATGTATATTTTGAATTAAAATGTCATCTCGTTTTTTAAGGCAGATGATTAAAGTTCCTTGACCTTTACAGATTCCAGACATATTACGATCTGTGTCCAACGTACAAATTCTGAAATTACGACAGCAAACACAATTTTTATGGGAGAGATATTTTTCTTCTATTGAAAAAATTGTATTTACCGTGTTTGAGGTAATTGTCGATTTTTATTGCAATTTATTATATATCTAATCTCATTTTTGGTCTTTTGTTGATTATAATTATTAATTTAGAATATTCGCGAGCGTTTGCCATGGGAAGGTGCGCGGGAAAGAATCGTCTGGAATACTAGTCCTGGAGCACTAACGATTTTGCCACAATTTGCCGACAGCCAACAGGAACTTCCTTTTTCAAACAGTAATCCTGGTAACACTTTCACTGCCATAATCTATTCGCAATTGGGATCCACCGCCGTACTTTATCGTTTACTTAGAAGTCTCGCGAAAAGCAAGTACCTAGATAAGGTAAGTCCATTCATTGGTAATTTATTATTATTTCTCTTTGCTATGAATTTTTTGTAACATCTGTGTAATATGCTGTAACAAATTATTCTCTTCAAGATAATACTTATGTGGAACTCGGACATTCCGGTGCCAAGGAAACCACGTTGGCAAGGTATCAGAGCGTCAATCCACGTTGTCGCGGTTGACGGTATATCTCAGCGTTTTTATCCTCACCCGTTAATCAAAACTAGTGCCATATTGTCGCTCGACGAGGACGCCACTCTAAATACCGACGAGATTGACTTTGCTTTTACGGTTTGGCGATCATTTCCCGATCGAATAGTAGGGTATCCAGCGAGGTCTCACTATTGGGATGACTCAAAGGTAGGGTATTATGTAGCGTTAAATGACTTCCGTCCAAGCCTGCACCTTGTTTCGTAATCGAGCTAATCTGGTTTTTATGTTCGCAGCGCTCCTGGGGTTATACCAGTAAGTGGACAAATGACTACAGTATCATTCTCACCGGTGCCGCTTTTTATCACCGCTACTATAATACTCTGTATACCGAGTTATTGAGCTCGACTCTCCACAAGACCGTGGAGCAGTCGCAGAACTGTGAGGATATACTCATGAATTTCCTGGTGAGTCACGTAACTCGAAGGCCACCTATCAAAGTGACGCAGCGCAAGCTATACAAAGATACTACAGTAGCTGGAATTAGGTAAGTATCGTCAGGATGCTGTTGTTGAGATTTATATATACACGATATCGTTATTGTATTTCTGACTCGTACATCGTTGGATCTTAGATCGCCGTGGAACGATCCGGATCATTTCATACAGCGACAAACATGCATGAATACATTCGTCGCTGTCTTCGGATATATGCCACTGTTGCGATCTAACATGCGGCTGGACCCGGTTCTGTTCAAGGATTCCGTGAGCAATTTGCGCAAGAAGTATAGGCAAATTGAACTAGTTAGTAATTAGAATTGTACACACACTGCTCGATTACGCGTGACTATTTAATTCTTCAGGCGCGCCGGATAACGCAAAATCTCCGCGTACGATATTAGATCTATTTCTTTTAGCGCACTTTTTTGCACTTACAGTGAAAATATGGTAAAAAATAAATGATACGTATGTACAGAATTTTCGAGGAAAGAACGGAAAATTGTGAGCAAGTGCAATAAGTACAGCTAAAAAAAAATAGATTTACCGTTATTGCCGTACAAATGTGCATGTATAGATGTACGGAGAACATTTACATTTACGCGTTTGCGTGCTACGCCATATTAGGCTATCGGTGTTGTCGGGCAGCAAATCAAAGTCCGTTATTCAGCAAGGACGCATGGTGATATCCCCTGCGATTTATTTGCGAGTAATTTTGTACAAATTGTAGAGTCGTAATTGACGCCGTTTCTATTTGACGATGTCTCGCGCAGCTATCGCTAACTGCGGGTCAGCATTTAATTAATGTACATACAAAATCGTTTCGTAATTATTAATAAAAAGTTATTTAAGAAAGACACTTGGATTTTTCACGTATCGGCCATTGAGATCGTTTGAGCGATTTGATATTAAAGAGAAAGAAAAATCAAATCTTTCCGCCGCGCGTGTTGTCGTACGATTATCCTAAAGACAGCTAAAACTGAGCTAAAAAGAAAAACAAAAAAAGGAAGCAAAAATATATCGCGTTTGTATGTATAACGATATTTTTAATCATAGAGATTTGCGAATGTTTTTCTATTTGAATAAATGTATTTCACGTAATTCTTCTTAGATTCGGAATACGTAAAGTTTTAGGGCAGACTTCGTCAAGTGCTTTGATAACGATGACGCGAAAGTCGTTGTACGTATTGAGGCGAGGTGCAAGCAAAAGATCTGTTTATATTTAAAACAATTGTAAAGATGTTAGGGTTTAATGCGACCATTGATATCGATCTTATTATCCACTAATTTTTATATGATATGATTTTAAGCGTCGCCTTACTAACTCCCACTCTCTACCCTTTTTCTCCTCTTCTCCCTTTTTAAAGTATATACTTCGTGTATTTGAAGTTGATCACAAATTTTATATATCCGAAGAGATATTCTGTCAATTTTATCTAATCGTGCACAATTATTTATGTGCATACTATTGCGTATGCTGCATTGTTTACTTTGTAATCACGTTCTACCGATCACATTGGCTCACGAGTGAATTTAATGAGTCTACACACAATTATTCAGCATATATATTCGAATATACTGCCGAGTTCTCAGGAACATGGACGAAAAGAAGGAAAGAAAAGAGAAATTTTCTTTGTCAAGGCGTCGCAACAATATCTAGTCGTTTACACCGATATACGTTGTTACACGATGAGAGAAATAATGTGTAATCCCTCGGTTAGAAGGACTGCACAGTAATATGGCATCTGCATGCGTCTTGAAGACGGAAAGCTATTTGTACATGTGATATGTTTTTTTTTCTCTATTGTGCGTTCCGTGATTATTCGAGAAGAATATCGAGAGGAAGCTCTGTATCATTTTTATGCATAATATATTTCTGCAACTTAGGGAGGTATGCGTATGCAAATCAAAAGCGACCGCAGGTTAATTGAAGTTCTTATAGTTATCCGGAATTTCGTATTGTCATTAATTCTAGCGGTCATACGTCTACTTTGCGATTGTCCTTGAGTTGCGTCAATTGATAAATGTAAATTAGTATCTGGGTGTATATAGAAACTGGTAGGATAATCTCTAATCTTTTTATTGCTCGGCGAACAATCCTAATCAAATATGTTCCAATCGTTACCGACCACTGAAGGCAAGCATAATCTTCGTACAAAAAAAAAAATAAGTCCTACGCAGTGGCCGGTAGTATTTTGATTCTATCCGATATGAAGCGATGGTTCCGATCTGTTAAACATTTTTTTCCATGTAATCGTATTGCGGAAAAAAAAATAATATAAGGTAACAAGATATAGTATTAGTCATTTTATATGGGGAAAAAAATAAACTGTTTTGTACAAAATGCCGTTTGGGAGTAACGATTAATTATTTTTGTCGATCATTCGATAGTATATCCCGCGATACGATTGTAGACCTTAAGTTTGCTAATTTGTAAACTTTGGGACGTTAACTCCCAGAGACTCCTGTCTTCCAAGACATAGAAATAAAAAATATTAATTTATATAAATAATATATTTATATAATAATATAATTTTTTATTTATGTCGCAATGGACAATCTTCTATATAATAATATTCATACTGTAATCATTTTATTATTGTAACGTCATATAATTATTAGTTTTAGAACTTTCATTATATTTATCATAATCATGATCGATAATCCACAGTTTTCTTCTAGGATATTCTGTTTCCTGAAAAGCTTGTTCACGCGGGGATATCGCGAAAGAAATTCGGCTTCGCCGCTCGGATTTAAGTGCATCCCCTCGTCGCGCAACCCCCGCCTTTCACCTCATATTGTAGGGAATCGAGAGAGGGCGGTTCAGGGTTAATAATGGCAGAGCGCGCGGCGGACGCGGTCGGGAAAAGCTCGGGGCTCGGGGCGACGCGAATTTCGAGCGTTAAATTCCACCACCTGGGTCCCCACTCCAACCCTGGTGATCGCGAACGTCGTACCGTGTATACCGCACCGAGGTGGTGGGCAACCGCGCGCGCGGTGGTGGGTATAGCACCAAGGCTCCCTTCTTTGTTGCCCCGCTCTGCTAGAAAGGTGACTATGCCATGAAGACAGGCGGTATCGTGCACGCCTCGCGTATATACCCGCAGTCACCTTTCTCTCCTCGTGACCGTAGCATACGTTCTTGCGACGTCCATGGCGCACTCGCGGCTCTGAATTAACGGCGCTGCATTGGCTGCTGCGGCTCTCTCGTAGGCTCGCTCGTCGCTCCGAGGGAAGAGAAAGAGGAAAGGGGGAGAAAAGAGAAACCGGGAAGAAAATTCGAGGAGTGACGATCGACCCGCGAGGTCCGCGGGTAAAAAACCGAATTCGGAGGATCGCGCCCTCCCCCCCCCCCCCGCGAGACGCCGCGCCGAGGGCTCGAACGACGTTCAAATCGTCCCGCGACGCGCCGCGCCGGTTTTCGCGCCTCCCTTCAGTGCGGTCCGGGGTGTGTGAGAGCTCGCGTGCGGAAAGGAAGAGGACAGACGGCCGGGGTCCGCTCCCTTCGTCCTCGACCGACACCACGTCGTTGATTCCTGCGCCAGCGACCGACGGGGGACCACGGAGGGAAGATGATAATCGTGAGCAGCGTGCTGCTGATTCTGGCGGTCGTGTCGAGAGTCGGTGAGTTTGTCTCTGTGATTCATTTAAGTCCGAGCGCGCCTCCTCCACTTTGCCGAGCGCGAGGAGGTTGGTGCGTTAATGGCGACGCAACCGCGCAAACGTGGCCAACTTTATTTACACTTCCAGAGTATATGATCTCTCTTATATACAATCTTTGATGTTCGAAATATAACGCCAACGTTTGTAAATTAAACGCGGTTCTACATTTCTCGATATACATTCGTATTAAAATCACTCGTCGACATCCTTCGAAATGGATTTCTAAAAGAATTCTATAAGAATTGTATTAAAATTAGACAAATGTGCGTAAATGGAATTTCAATCGATCAGAGTCATACGCCTGGATCGTAACGAAATATCGACCGAACGGAGAATTTATCGGGCGACAGGACAATTTATCGAGTCGGAGCTCCCTCTTTTTTTTCTTTCGCGAGAGTCCGCGGCGCGGGAAAGGCTATCGCAGTAGAGCTCGGGTTGGAATCGCATGCTCGCTCGCTCGTGTTAGCTGCGAAAATGTCAGTTTACGTAATGCCCGCGCCGTTGGATAACTGGCACACGCGGAAATCGAGCTAACGCGCCCGCCGATCCCCCGGGGTGCGCCCGAGGCCCCCGAGGGTAGCGCTATATGCTTTCGGAAAGCTCGCTTCGCTTCCCATCGCGCCTGTGATGGCCTGATCCTCGGTTGACAGGAATGTCCCGCGTGGACGATCGATGTTGCGCACCGAAGCGCACGAGCGCACGTACTTTTCTTTCAAGTGTCTGTCACGGTGCGTGTCTTTCGAGCCCGAGTTGCTCCGATAAACGTCGTACAGTTTCGTCACTTCGAGCAAAAAAACTCGAGGGATAAAAAAATCTCTGTAGTCAATGAATAAACAATATCGCTTATATGACGATTAGTAAAGTTTTCAAAAGAGACAAGAAATTGTGTCGAAAGTTACTTAACACAGAAAAAAAAAGAATATTCTTGATTTGCAAATATATATCTTTAATTTCAACGTGGAAATCTTGAAATAGTTCACACACACAACCAAGAAAAGAAAATTTGAATTTCTTATAAGAAAATTATGGATTGTTGCGTATATACAAAACAATGACGCATTAATTTGAGTATATAAATTTTGATTTGGCACTTTTTTTCTGTGTACAAGTATCTATATAACTTCTTGAATATAAGTTTAAATACTCATCTGTAAATAATATGTATTCATGGAACTTGTTGGCCTAAATTTTGTAGTATAGAATGATAATGAGGGACAAGGACGAAAAGTGCATTTGCAAAAAATGTCACATAGGCAGTAATGTTTATTCGCAGACGCTATGTAAAATCAAGATATTGACGTAAAATTAATGAATATCAATTTAAATGGGACGTTACTTAATTACTTTCAATTTGAAAGTAATTCATCAACTGCGTAACATAAAATTATGCACGAATGATTTCTGCAATTTCTGCAATACTTGCGCATCCTCGTGCCTTATTCCTCCAAATTTAAAAAGAAAGTTTCTCCAATAAATATTTACCTTCTTATAATTTTGTTGCTTAAGGATAAATTCAATAAATATATCTCTATTCTCTCGAATGGAATATCAGTTAATTGAGGTATACTAACAAATGCATTCTCGAACTCACGTTGTGGTCACGTTCAAGAAAAGTAGTAAGAGTAAACGAGTCATTACTATTATCTCGTTTATGAGATTTATCCGAGATATCCGAGTGAGGAATCTCGAGCCTGTATAGGACTCGGGCGCGTGCGTGTGCCGCTTTGTTTATATGTTGTGTGAGCAATTAAACGCGCGTTTACATAATACATAATTATCCGCGAGAGGTTCCTTCCCTCGAAGCGACGTTCCCGCGGCGCGGCGCGGCGCGACGCGTCACGCGGCGACGTTTTTTAACATTCCGAAATGCAGGAATCTCCCGCGGGCGGTTCTGCACATTCGTCTCCTTCTGTCCCTGTGGGAGGGAGGCGAGGCCTTTTGCAATCCGGTAGCACGGTAGGTCGGTTTCGCATGCGAAACGACCGATTTGCGAAACTTCGCAAGCGGCAGTGGCCGAGCTAGGATAGAACCGAGCGCGAATATTTCGTCGAAACGAAAAACCTTGCGAAATGGCGCGGGTCTCGCAGGAAACTCGTGGTAATATTCGGGGAAAATTTTGTCAACGGGAAAATTAGATCTCGCTCCGACTCGCAGCCGACTTAGATTTATTGGGGTCAAATGTCGATCGAGAAATATCGATCGATTAATCAAGGAGAGAAATTAATCAGATAATTAACTTCTCTACTTGATTGATCGATCGATATTTGACCTTAATAAATTTGTATCTCAAAGGAGATAATTAAAACTTTGGGACTCATAAGATTGATAATTGCGAAATTATTAAACAATCGTGCGTGTCGGTTCGACGGTTGATTAACGACTTCGATTGCGCCAGCATTTGTTTACGTATAGACATAAACATTATTACGAGATAAGCGGTTACTAATTGACAAAACAATTAGGAGGCTCTCAATTCAAGTAGTAAAACGGCTGCCTGAAGTAACCGATTAGTATGCCTGCCAGCAAATCCGCTTATGCCTGTCGATTTAGTTTACGTAATAACATTACAAGTGGCAACTGAGAGTATTCGTCGGAGATCCCGGTTGCATCTTCTGCTCGTGCGTTCTCAGAGAATCACGTTGTTCGATCCCGCCAATGAACGTAAAAATCGAATAGAGCTTCTCTCGCGGGCATCTCGCGCGACAGAATCGACAAAAGCGCGGTCACGATTTTGCGAAATCCGAAAGTGACCATCACCGTCGGTCGTGATCCGCGCGCCCGCGCCGGTCCCGCTCGCGTATAACTTATCTGGCCGGATCGGATTCATCGCGAGGCGGGTTGGCGACGTCGCGCCGTGGATCCGAACAAAGGTGAACGCTTTAACTTACGTTGTTGCTATATTTCGGTAACACGGCGACTGGGATGTCGGCGTGGAAATGGTCCCTTTGCGAAATCCGCCCGGAGGTGCTCGGTTGCACCGCGGGCTGGCGTTCGGCGACGGGAAAAGGGGACGCAATCAGAAATCTGTTCCCATCGGTTAACGAGGCGACGCGACGGAGTGACAGGGACGTGAGGGGCCCCGTCTCGTCTCGCAAGAGACGTGTATCCGCCGCCGCGAGAGAGATCGCGCCACGTTAAGATGGAAGATAATGAGAAAGAAGAAATTTTTCGATCTCCTCGCGAATCCGCGCAATCGGCCGCCGCGCGCGGTCTTCAGATATACACCGTTCGCGTTCGCGTCCAAATATTAACTCGAAGATCGCGGGTGTGCCGTCAGTTTTTCTGGACTTTCTAAATGCGTGTAAGCCGCTGGATTATGATTGATGGGATTGATGATTAATTACATCGACGGATAGTATTCTTTTTCTTTCGCGCGAACAATTCTGATCTGCGCGCTGCATCGACGCATATATGTACCTATGAGTGAGAAGAGCCGAAATAGAGAAGCAGAATTATCGCAAACCGCGACGAAATCAATAATTGACGATTTGAGATTCGACCTTTCCAAGTTACTCGTTTCTTTTTTTTTCCAAGAAGACATCTCACTTATGGAAATAGCCGTATCTGACCACGTGCTAACGGAACGAGTATTCAAATTAAATAGCGGAGGGCGCGTTGGCTAGGATGTTACTTCTCGCAATAAATATCATCGATTAATTGAATTACTAGCTGAATTCACGTAACCGTAAACGGTGACTTCGCGATCGCCGTACATGTGAATTGCACAAATATCGCGTGGTGACGCAATCTCATTTACATTATCTCAATTATGTCAGAATGAAGTATTTGACGAAGGTCAGTAACTTTTTGATCGAAACGTGTCCACTTGATTGCCACTTCATGGCTACACTATCTTGTATTTAGTTCTAGATTTATCATTATTTTGCGGCTAGTATTGGATTAATTGAAAAATATTCTTATTCCTTACACTCCTTCGTTAATCAAATCGATATTCGATATGACTTAATAGAAATCGCGATTTTTTTTATTATTTAATCGTTCCAAAAATGCAATTTAATTTCTATTTTATGTATATTAAAAATAAAATGTTTTTTTTTTTAAATTCACATTTGTTACATATTTATATTTACATACAATATATTTATATTTACATACAATATATTTAGAAAAGATTTGTCGTGAAATAGCGGTATAGTCGTAAAATATGATTAACAGCGCACAACGGTAGGATTAGATAATGATCCTGTAATAACCTTTTGTCAACCACCTCGAACAGTCTGAAATATGTGATGAAATCACGCAACGTTACATATATCCATTAGAGGGATATATACGCGATGTTTGTGTAATGTAAGAGAGGCGGACGCGATTCGATGTGTAGGCGGGTCGTTTCGCGATACCGCCGGCTCGCATCAGCGAAGTAATTTAGCAGCCGGAATGCAGTTTACGCCCCGTGATTTACACGTCGCCGACATATCTCGGCGTCAAGGGCTCCGTAGATCGCGCGCTCAGCCGCTCTCAAAGTGCTCGCGTTACTTATATCCTTTCTAAAAGTCGTGAGTTACGACGTTGCTCGCGCGAAGCGAGCACTTTGGCGAGGGCACGTCGCATCCTCGAACCATAATCGATTCTTTTGTTTAAGGACTACGAAACGTGATGTTTCAAATTACCCTGTTCTCCTCCGCTGCTCCCCTAAATTTTCAATTAAAATGCACTATCATTTCGTTATAGCTTTTGACATCCGATTCCGATCCGGATTATCGGCGCTCGCTCTCCAGAGATTCTGACAGACAGTCTCGCTTCGATTTTGCGAGGAAACCGCTGACAAATAAAATCTATATAATTTATAATTTACGCAACGCGCATCCGTAAACTGCACGTATGGCCTGCTGCACGTATGTGCACATAAATCACCGCTATTCGAGCCGGTTAAATTTTACACGGTCTTTTAACATTATTCACGCGGGGTACCACGCGTGTCCTCGGGACACGTAGCCACG